ATATGAATTGCAGGATATTCCGGTGGAAGTGGACACCATTGCCTGTCCGACTGAGCTTGAGGAACACCACTTGAGCGAAGGCAATTGCATAGCCACCCTCAGGACATATCCTAAACAGAGGGACTGTAGGCCTGTCCACAGCAAAACTCCAAAACAAAGCCAAGCCTCGGCCAAATGGTTACAATTTTCTTCTGGATCCAGAGTGGGAAGCCATTTTAGTTCCTGCTAGTATGCGGACTTGAGACAGCAAAGGATTCCTATGAAACCCCAGCAGAGTAAAAGAACTCATAGGCCAGTATCCAGGAGAGTGCACACCCTGTAAATTCCACCTACATCTGTTTTGGAATAGTTAAATTGCTTAGCAACATCCAAATCAGACCCAATCACAATAAATGTCTGGATCAGTGGTCATCTGGTTCTAATGGAAGTCCGTACTGGCACAGCTGTTTCAGTGGTTGCAGAACCAGTCTTTAACAAAATTCAAGACAACAAGGTGCAGGGCTGGATGAACACAGCAGGCCAAGCAGCATCAAATTCAGTCTGCCTGTAACATCTTAAGGTTGTGTAAGATTTCAACTAGACTGAGAACCTATACCGGGAACCTTTACAGATTAAGGGTACAACTTTGATTCCAGTCTCTTATGAGAAGCAGCTGGTTCAGCTACCAGTGATCACAGTTAAAGGCTCAGGCCCAAGCTTGATGGGGCAAAATTGGTTGAGAGAGATTTACTGGATTAGCTCAACGTAATTCAATTAGAAAATGGCTGCCCGAGTGAAGTTCTAATTAAATAACCAGAAATCATTCAGGAAGGTCTAGGGACTATCAAAGGAGCCAAAGTCACCTTGCATGTTGACCAGGAAGTAATTCCACAATTCTGCAAGGCCCACTGAGTGCCGTACGAGCAAATGTAGAGACAGAAATCAGAAGGCTGGAAAGCAAAGGAATCATCAAAACAGTCCAGCTTGTAGAATGGGCAGCACTGGTAGTACTGATTTTGAAGACCAACGGGTTGGTTCACCTTCGGAGGGATTTTAAACAAATGGTAAACTGCTTTTCGCAGCATGATAAGTACCCAATTCCACACATAAAGGATTTATACGCAAACCTGGCAGGGGGTGCTGTCCTCTACGAAGCTGAACATGAGCCATGCGTACATGGAGAACATTTTGCAAAGCCTACCCCCACGTTGCCATTTATCTGGAAGGCATGCTTATAACAGGGAAGACCAATAAGGAGCACACTGTGAACTTGGACATAGTACTTAAACTGTCTTCTCAGGAAACTGTAGGTCTAAGAAGGAAAAAATGTGTGTTCCAGCCACCCCACATGACCTACTTGGGCTGCAGAGTTGACAAGACTGAGTCCCACCTGTTGGAAGATGAAGAGAGGGCGATCGAAATTGCCCCAGCTTCCACATCTGTACTGAAGCTCATGTCTTTCATTGGGCTGGTGAATTATTACGGAAAGTTCATATATAATCTGGCCTCCATCCTGGCAGCTTTTTATCAACTCCTAAAAAAGTGTCAGCCTTGAAAATGGTCACGTAGCGAAGCCCGAGCTTTCAGGGAAGTGAAGAAACAGCTATCATCCTCTAAGGTGTTGGCATACTATGATCCCAAGTGAGATCTGGTATTGACATGCGATGCCTCCTGTATGACATCAGGGTAGTATTAGCTCATAGGTGGCCAAATGGAGAGAAACACTCAATAGCAAGTGCATGCAGGACTTTGGCTAATGCAGAGCGTAAATATGCCCAGATAGAGAAGGATGGTTTGACAGTCATAATTGGATGCAGGAAGTTCCACTAATACCTATATAGACATAAATTTATAATAATAACAGACAACAAACCCCTTCTTGGTCTGCTTAAAGAGGACGAGCAATGCGTGCCATAGCCTTAGGCCAAATTCAGTGGTGTGTTCTAATGCTAACTGTGTATAATTACAAGTTGGAGCACTGAATGGTCGACCAAGTAGCAAAGGTAGATGCAGTGAGCCACGTCCCACTGGCAGATACACAACCGGTGGTACCGCCGCTGTAAGAATCCGTAATGGTTTTAATTTTTTTGGACGCACTTCCAGTTACATCTGACAATATCACACTTTGGATGCAGAAAGAATCAGTCCTGGCAAAACTGAAACAGCTGTTGGTGATGGAGGAATCCAAAGGGTCGTCACAAGCAGAATTGAAATCTTTTTGGACCTGGAGAGACTAGATCAAGTTGAGGACAGCAAATTATTATGGGGAGCAAGAATAATCGTCCTGAACAAAGTTTGCCACCAGATACTGGCTGAACTCCACCAGGATCATCCAGGGGTTTCCAAAAATGAAGATGTTGGTGAGAAGTTATGTCTGGTGGCCAGGCTTTGAAGCTGGTGTCTTCCATTGTGAATAACTTTTAGATATCAAAAAACTCTTGCAATCTTCCTTTTATGAGCCTGCTCACTCCCATATTTCATCTTCTCCCCTTTAGAACATAGAACAGTACAACACAGTACAGGCCCTTCGGCCCACAATGTTGTGCCGAACTTTTACCCTAATCCTAAGGTCTATCTAACCTCCACCCCTACCATATACTATCATCCATATGCCTATCTAATAGTCGCTTAAATGCCCCTAATGAGGCCAACTCCATTACCCTCTCCGGCAATGCATTCCATGCCCCGACCACTCTCTGAGTAAAGGACCTACCTCTGATGTCTCCCCTATATCTACCTCCACTCACTTTAAAACTATGCCCCCTTGTAATAGCTACCTCCAGCCTAGGAAAAAGTCTCTGGCTGGCTACTCTATCTAAATCTCTGATTATTTTGTACACCTGTATCAAGTCACCTCTCATCCTTCATCGTTCTAAAGAGAAAAGCCCTAACTCTCTCAACCTTTCCTCGTAACACCTTCCCTCCATTCCAGGCAACATCCTGGTAAATCGCCTCTGCACCTTTTCCAACGCTTCCACATCTTTCCTGTAATGACGTGACCAGAACTGGACACAATACTCCAGATGTGGCCGAACCAGGGTTTTGTATAGCTGGAGCATAACTTCACGGCTCTTGAACTCAATCCCTCTATTAATGAAAGCTAACACACCATACGCCTTCTTAACAACTCTATCCACCTGGGTGGCTACTTTCAGGGAACTGTGGACATGAACCCCAAGATCCCTCTGCTCCTCCACACTGCCAAGAATCTTTCCGTTAACCCTATATTCTGCTTTCAAGTTTGTCCTTCCAAAATGAATCACCTCACACTTTTCAGGGTTAAACTCCATCTGCCACTTCTCAGCCCAGCTCTGCATCCTATCAATGTCCCTTTGTAACCTAGAACAGCCCTCCGCACTGTCCACAACGTGACCCACCTTCGTACCGTCCGCGAACTTACTAATCCACCCTTCCACTCCTTCATCTAAATCATTTACAAAAATCACGAATAGAAGAGGACCAGAACAGATCCTTGTGGTACATCACTCGTACCTGAGCACCATGTTGAATATCTTCCGTCCACTACCACCCTTTGTCTTCTAAGGGTCAGCCAATTCTGAATCCAATCTGCCGCATTACCCCCTATCCCATGCCTCCTTACCTTCTGCATGAGCCTACCATGGGGAACCTTATCAAACGCCTTACTTAAATCCATGTATACCACATGCACTGCTCTACCTTCATCCACGTGTTTGGTCACCTCTTCAAAGAATTCAATAAGGTTTGTGAGGCATGATCTACCCCTCACAAATCCATGCTGACTATCGCGAATCAAACTGTGCTTTTCCACGTGATCATAAATCCTGTCTGTCAGATCCCTTTCCAATAATTTGCCCACACTGACATAAGACTAAGAAAATCTCCTACGCTCCAGTGAAAAAAGTCCCAGCCGAACCTTATAACTCAAATATTCCATACCCAGCAACATCCTGGTAAATCTCTTCTGAACCCTCTCCAGCTTAATAGTAACCTTCCTATAACTGGGACATAACTGTTGAGGGATTCAAAAAAATGGTGAGAGATTATCTGAAAGAGGCCTCCGTTGCATCCTAAGTAATTGTAATGAAGATGTGCAATCCAAAATATTGATTTATAATGTAATCGACTGGACATATACATTTGTGTGTATGTATATAGCTTGAAGTTTTGAAAAGACCACTTTGCAAAACAAAATCCACTGGCTACAGCAGTAACAATATTGTATTTTTAAGGAACAATCTGCTTGAACGGCGACACAGAGTCTACAATACTTTCACATGAAACCAGTTTGTGGGTGAAAATACGATATTAGATTTAAGCTAGAGAGTCTAAGATAATTGTTTTAGCTGCATCTTCTTTCGTACTTTCTCTGAAACCCATCTCATTGTGAGTCATAAATCTAGTGAATATTTTATAATCACAATGGAGAGTTCCTAAAGGAGAATTCAAATCTACTGTCTACAGAAAAAACAATGTCAACTAGCCATATCTGATCCAGGAAGATTTCCCAGTGCCAGCAGTTTGTGTGGAAATTGATTTTGGCTGTAGTCTGGCACTTTGGGTGATCTGTGAATAATTCATTTTTTTCTGAATTTAACTGATACTTGCCCAAAGTACTTTTAAGATAATATTCTGCACAGTTGTACAGATTTTGTGTCCATGTGTGTTTTTCTTTTGGGAAGGGTAGTTGAATTCATTTGCACAGTTTTAACCTTTTGTTATTTTTTTACATCATTGTTTGAGTAAATGAGGTCTTTATTTTTTAACTAAAGGAACCAGGTTGACTTGTTTCTGATATTGAGCTATATACAGTGTAATATATATAATTGACGATGTTATTTTCCTTTTAAAATTCAAACTTTGATGTGACTAGTCAGGGAGTGGGGCAAGGCATCCTTCCTAAATGGTTGATAACATGATATCCATAGCAATGATCAATGTAAAAACACCAGTGTGATATTTGCATTCTGAATGCTGAATGTGGAAAGTATACTTTGTTCTTGCCAAATCTGTTGTGTTTTTTTTCTCCCTCTGCCATATAGGACTCCACAGTGGAATGAACTCCAACCACCATTCAATGCAAACCATCCTTTGCTGCTTAGTGCCGATGCTGTCCAACACTGTCAGAATCAGCTGGCTGGTTGTAAGTAGCTGTCCCTCTATCAATGTTTAATGGTGCCAAGTTGCAGTTTGTTGGAGACATTCAAATTAACTGTCATAACTATAATATAGCTGAAACCCATGGTTTAGGATGTTATTCAGATCTAGATGTCAGATAAATTGTACTGCTTCTGAAGCCAATTTTACTCTTAGATAACAAGGTGTAGAGCTGGATGAACACAGCAGGCCAAGCAGCATCAGAGGAGCAGGAAGGCTGACGTTTCGGGCCTAGACCCTTCTTCAGAAATGGGGGAGGGGAAGGGGGTTCTGAAATAAATAGGGAGAGAGGGGGAGGCGGATAGAAGATGGATGGAGGAGAAGATAGGTGAAGAGGAGACAGACAGGTCAAAGAGGCGGGGACGGAGCCAGTAAAGGTGAGTGTAGGTGGGGAGGTAGGGAGGAGATAGGTCAGTCCAGGGTGGACGGACAGGTCAAGGGGGCGGGATGAGGTTAGTAGGTAGGAGATGGGGTTGGGGCTTGAGGTGGGAGGAGGGGATAGGTAGGAGGAAGGACAGGTTAGGGAGGCGGGGACGAGCTGGGCTGGTTTTGGGATGCGGTAATGGGAAGGGAGATTTTGAAGCTTGTGAAGTCCACATTGATACCATTGGGCTGCAGGATTCCCAAGCGGAATATGAGTTGCTGTTCCTGCAACCTTCGGGCAGCATCGTTGTGGCACTGCAGGAGGTCCAGGATGGACATGTCGTCTGAGGAATGGGAGGGGCAGTTGGTTTCTGTTGTTAATACATGGGTTTTTTTTTTCTCAATTGTTACCTGTATTAGTGTTTAAAATACTAAAAAAAATTTGATGCAGAAAAACTACTTCCTTTGATGGTGAAATCAAAAGCAAGGTGAAGTAATCTTAAAAATGAGGTGCAGGCTCTTTAGGAAGGAATTCAGAAGCATGTTTTCTCACAAACACAAATAGAAATGTGGAATTTTTTGTCTGTGAATGCTGTTGATTTGGAGACAATATTTCAAGACTCGAGAGACTTTTAGTTATGGCTATCTCGGGATAAACCAAGGTAGATAAATAGTGTTGTGGTACAGATCAGCCATGACCTCATTGAATGATGGAGCAGGCATACGGGATTCAAGACCTATTCCTTCTCTCCTGATGAAGGTGACTTATGTTGAAATCTGGTTTCAAGACGCCATTCAGCCCTCCATGACTGTTTACTGTGGTTGGTCTTCCTTGTGAGCTTACATGATCAGTGCCAACAGGATATTCAACCATTTTGGACATTCTTAGTTAAACAGATACTTGCTTTCCCTGCCATCCACATTGGCTGTTCCCTACAGTAGTTACTGAACTTGGATGAAAAGCAGGAGCACTGGCTGTCTTTATCCCAATCTTCTCCAGCATTCCCAAGGACCCCCAGCTGCATTTAAGATAAACTAATTCAATGTAAACCATTCACAATACCCTCTAACCCTAAACTCTGTCTTCAGTGAAGGCCTCACTTCATCCCTAAATGCCCTGAATGGCCTACTCCCATGTTCCTATGATGTGGAGCAATATCTTTTGTCATTTTGTCTTTCACGCCCATTTCCTTGGCCAGATTCTTCCTCCTCCAATTAGTGACCAATGAACCCATCTTCAATACTCTCCCTCCACCTGGGCCTCTCCTTTGGTCTCTCACTTTCTGTAGATCTTTTAATTGTGAATTCTGGCATGACGTCAGCTGTCTTATTTTTTTCTGCTCCTATCATTCACTCTGACCTATGGCCATCTGAACTTGTTGTTTCCTACTCATACATCTAACCATAACATTGTCAGAAAACTGTAGACAAGAGTGTTAACATTGTTGCCTGCTATCCTGACCCTTATCTAGTAGAAGCCAAATGCTAACACTCCCAACATAATCTCCTACCACCCTTTGGACCATGACCCTACTATCGAACCTGAAGTCACAGTACCTATGGTGAAGAAAATTCAGTGCTGACAAATAGCCATTGACTGAAACATTAACTCAGTTTAACTCCACAGATTCTGCCTGTCCAGCTAAGTATTTTGTACATTTTCTGTTTCGATTTCAGTGCAAATTAGTATGTGACATGTTCCCACCATTTCATTCAAATCCTGGCATTTTTTATGGCTGATGAGTGTATTTGTTTCTAATAAATGTGATGGAATTAAGAATGACTGACAAAAAGTAGTCAGTGAGCCCAGAATCATCTTCTCTGTAATCAAGTTTCCTGTAAATGAGGAATGGGATTAACTGAAGCAAATACTAACAATGTGATACTTATGTCATCAATGCAGTTTTAATGATGCAATTTGCAAAAAGGTTTTCCTTGTTTCACCAGTTTTCTGCTGTGATCCCTTTAAATTAGATCCCTGTTTCAATTTTTTTTTTCAAATAGTAGTCTAATTCAATGGTGCTATTAACCTTCAGTTCTGCTCATTGTATCTGTGATGATCCTTTGGACATTCCATCACCCTGCCATGGTGTCCTTTCTAATGTATATACACTAAGAGTTCATGTAATTTATACACAGGAAATCCTGTAGAAAGTCTTATTGCTCACTTGTTCTTTCCATAGGCACTTAAACCCATTCAGTACAGTTCCAGCATGATGCATAACTAGGCACAGCTGAGCAGGAAAAATTACATATTATTGCCTAATGGTTAAATGTGGTAGCAAATTATGACTTGCAAGCCAAATCATCGATTTAATGGTAAATCTACTGTTTCCTTATTTCAGCTTGGTAACAATGTGAAGTGTCTCAATAGTTATCTGTCATGTGTACTTCAAATATCCCTGTAACTATCTTTAGCATCCTGCCTGACTTTCGCCCCACAGATAGTCTAGTGACATAATTGCTTTTCCTTGATTTATCCACCAGGAAATAGACTTCAGCCAGTTTGGGAGAAGCCCCTTGCTATCTACCCTAACCTCAGAATCACTTTTATCCCACCCTATTTTCCACAGGTACTTTCAAGATGATGCTAGAAAGGCGGTCTTCAAAACAGGCAAAATTGAAGTCCTGCCTGAAATCCAACTAAGTAGCATGATTCAACAATGGCAACAATAATAACCTATGTTTATATAACACCTTTAGTGTAAAGAAATGTCCCAAGGTGCTTCAGAGGAACATATAAAACAAAGTATGAAGCAAAGTCATGATGGAAATAGTAACTAATTGATGAGTGCAAGTATCTTGGAGGGTAGTAGGTTAGAAGAGATTACAGAGTCAGGAAGGAAAAAGCTTATGGCGGAATTTGAAAACAGGGATGAAAATTTTAAAACCAAGATGTTGCTTAAACAGGAGCCAATGTAGGCTGGTGGGTCTGGGTGGGATTCTCATCAGAGTGTCAATGTGGACTTGATGAGCCTGCTTCCACACTGTAGAGGATTCTGTGATTCCATGATGGTGCTGACGGTCAGCTGTAGGTGAGAATTATAAGTGGATTGATTCTTGGGTAAAATCAGAGGTAGCAGTGCAAGACCAGGAAGAGAAGCCGCTGCAAGTCATTTTCTGGCTATGACAAGATAGATAAAAACGGTACTAAGTGAGAGCTGTCCCTTTGAACTGAATGACATTGGATGTGCTTAGGAGAATAGTGTGGTCAACCATGTCATGATCTATAATCAGATCACAAATCATAGAATCTCTACAGTGTGGAAACAGGCCATTTGGCCAAACACATCCACTCCGACTCTCCGAAGAGCACCCACCTACCATATCCCTGTAACCCCGCATTTCCCATGGCTAATCCACCTAACCTATGCATTCCTAGACACAATGGGCATCTTAACATGGCCAATATATATATAGATGATTTGGAGTTGGGGACCACGTGTAGGGTGTCAAAGTTTGCAGATGACACTAAGATGAGTGGCAAAGCAAAGTGTGCAGAGGACTGTGAAACTTTGCAGAGGAACATAGATACATTGAGTGAGTGGGCAAAGGTCTGGCAGATGGAATACAATGTAAATAAATGTGAAGTCATACATTTTGGTAGGAGTAATAGTAAAAAGGATTATTACTTGAATGGTAAAAAGTTGCAGCATGCTGCTATGCAGAGGGACCTGGGTGTCCTTGTGCATGAATCACAGAAGGTAGGTCTGCAGGTACAACAAGTAATTAGGAAGGCAAATGGAATTTTGTCCTTCATTGCTAAAGGGATTGAAATAAAAAGCAGAGAGGTTATGTTGCAGCTGTACAAGGTGCTGGTGAGGCCACACCTGGAATACTGCGTGCAGTTTTGGTCTCCTTACTTGAGAAAGGATGTATTGGCACTGGAGGGGGTGCAAAGGAGGTTCACTAGGTTGATTCCGGAGTTGAGGGGGTTGGCTTATGAGGAGAGACTGAGTAGTTTGGGATTATATTCATTGGAATTCAGAAGATTGAGGGGGGATCTTATAGAAACATATAAAATTATGAAGGGAGTAGATAAGATAGAAGTAGAGAGGATGTTTTCACTGGCAGGTGAAGCTAGGACAAGAGGGCATAGCCTCAAGATTAGAGGGAGCAGATTTAGGACTGAACTGAGAAGGAATTTCTTCACCCAGAAGATTGTTAATCTATGGAATTCCTTGCCCAGTGAAGTAGTTGATGCTACTTCAGTAAATGTTTTTAAAAAAAAGTAGATTTTTTTTGAACAATAAAGGAATTAAGGGATACGGTGAGAACGCAGGTAAGTGGATCTGAGTCCACGAAAAGATCAGCCATGATCTTAGTGAATGGCGGAGCAGGCTCGAAGGGCCAGACAGCCTACTCCTGCCCCTAGTTCTTATGTTCTTATGTTCTTAATCCACCTAAACCTGCACATCTTTGGCTGTTGGAGGAAACCCACACAGATATGGGGAGAATGTGCAAACTCACACAGGCTGGTGCCCAGGGTTGCAATTGAACCCAGGTCCCTGGCGCTGTGAGGCAGCAGTGCTAACCACTGAGCCACCGTGCCACCCTGAAGGGCAAGGAGGGAAAGATTGTCACAGTCACATAGGATGTCATTTTCACAAGAGCCAATTTAGT